TATTTATTCAGCCTTTAACTGAAACTTTGAATTTTTTTAAGCAAAAATATAATATGGATTACGAGATTCATCGCTCGTATAATCTTTAGACGAATGGCTATCGCCGAAACTAAGATTTTTAAAAAATCTTGAAAATTCGATGTTTTATATGCTTTTGATAAAAAAAGAAAAAGAGACGAAAGATTCCAAAGAAATTGCAACGAAAGAGCCAAGAAACGGTATCCAAAATTTTCCAATAAATGATCGATGTATCGACACGATCGACGACCGAAGTTCCGTCGCAGATTTCACGCGATTCGATCGATAGTCCGTCGATCGTTCGAAACGTGCGCGTCGCGCAAACGAGCAAAGCTAACGCGCACGGACCTAACCCATGCGCATCGTGCGAGCCGTGGTACGCGCGTTCGAATCTATTATGGCAATCCGTGAACAATAACTCTTCCTCCACTCTCGGCATTTAATGGCCGTCCATCTATTTAACGTGAAGGAAGAGGAAGTGGCTGATGGGTAGATAGGTCGAGCGTTTTGTAACTAATTTCGCGAGTAAATTGTCCGTAACATTGGTTCGGTGCAGTCCCACTAAACGTAACGACACCGAAACGGGGTTGACCGGGCAAACGCCCGAATCCCAGCGAAACGAGCATCGAGAAATTAGTCTCGCGATCGTTGTTCTATCTCGTCGAACTCGTCGAACTTTACAAAGAAGAGTACGTTTCTTTGGTTGCGCGCGTTCGTCGAGACACGATCGTGGAACAGGACCATGTGCGCGTCCAATGCGTGAAAAGCATGCAACGCGAATAACTGCACACCCACCCACCGATTCGCGATTCGTCGTGACTCACTGCGAGCTGCGCGACGCGAGGATCTGGATTCGCGAGTAATACACAGTCGGATCTTCGGTAAACGAATTTTCGTATCGTCTACCAATGAAATGGATGAAATTCTCTTTCTTACTTCCGTCGAAAGTCGGCGTTTTCCCGATGAAAGTTTCCCTCGTTCGCGATCGATCGGTGCTTAGAAAAAAGGAGCACCTTAGACACCGCGCGCGAGAAAATACGAGCGGGTAATAATCGAACGATCCGGTAACGTTAAACGCGTGAGAGAGTTTCCCTCCGAGCAAACAAGATCGTCATCGTATTTTAGCTCGACGAGTCGATCTCCGAGTCTAATGTTAATTGCGTTTGCTCTGCGTCCGAACGTCGAGCGAAATAATCGGTGGAACGGTAATCATACGCAGAACTGAAACGAAGGGCGGTGAACCGTGGAAATGGTTCGTCCGGTGGTCGTCGGGATGCCCTTTCTGCCTGGTCACGATAATCGTGGATTTCCGTCCGCTTATTATCTTACGCGCGTCACAATGCGTTTAGATTGCGTCCAGGTAACGGGTAATTAGTGATCTAGTACCATTCTCTGCGAAACGCGACCGATTGCGACTATCTCGTCGCAACACAGTGATCACTCCGCGTCATCGATGTCATAATCTTTGCGGTATCGTCGAATGCAGAATGACGATCGAGAAAAATATTTTCAATTCGTTTATCCGGAAACGTAAGGCCGATCGCACACGGCGCAACCGATTTGAAATTAATGTTGCGAACCGTTTGCGCTCTTTGTTTAAGCCCGATCGCACACGGCCGCAACCGATCGGTTTCAAACCACTCTGAAACTATGTAGTTGCATGCGACCGTGGATCTAGGTAAAACAAAGAGCGCAAACAGTTCGCAAAACTAATTTCGAATCGGTTGCGCCGTGTGCGATCGGCCTCACTCGATACTATTAATCTTTATTTTATGTGATTGCGAAAACTGGGAAGAACGATATTTATTTAATTATGGATGAAAGATATAAGCGAAGAAAAACTGGTGAAAATTAACTGGATATAAATAACAAAAACAGGGGAACGATAAGTTTTTTAAACAGAGCTCAGCCTTTTGTTTAATACACGGTGTGATATATCGGGCTGTCTGGAAAGTCCATGCCGATTTTTAGTTGACGGTACAAGTCTGAATATATCTGAATGGCTGAAAACAAATAACATATGTACATTCCTTAACAGGTGGAAAGATCGTGGAACGAAATGGTACATATATAATTCAATAAATATACATCAAAATTCAAATATGTCTTTGAACTTTTCTTTTAAAATAGCCGTGAACTTTCCGGACAACCCAATATTTGTACGTTAAGTAAATAATACTTAATAAGTCTAATATTATTCGGACGACACGCAAAAGTTGCGCCGTGTGCGATCGGCTTAACACTTTAACCCGAAAAAATTCCATATCGGAGCAAATAAAAGATAGCGTCGAACGGCGAAGGTAGCTCTCTTAGAGAACCAAAGAACTTCAGAACCGCGAGATCGGCGATCTCGGAAACGATCGCGAGTCGGACCCTCTTGTCTGTCCTCGTAGAATCTTAAGACGCTATCCGCGCAAGCTTCGCTTCCAAAAGTTGGTATCGGTAACGGTATCGAAAAACTGGTTTTCTATTACAACCGGCGATATCCATAGTCGTGATCACGGAAGAAGCGACGGGTGACTCGGGCTCGAATGTCGTCCCGCGAAAACCAACTCGAACGTCGTTCCATATCGATAAGATCGAGAAAAGAAAGAAGCTTTCGAATTTCAATTAGCCTCGCTAGGAGAAGAAGAGCGGTGAAAAATGAATCGCGCGACCACCAGTTACCGGCTTATTATATTTAGCCACGAAATCCGCGATAAATATTCATCTCGCGTCTCAATGTTACCCAAACGAGCTTTACGTGACGCTATCCGGCAAAAATCTTTAGCGATATTCGAGATTCGCCGTTCATTCTTATTCCACGACCGTTCAAACTTTTTCTGTTCCGAAGATCGTTGTCGCGTTAAAAGCGACGCATCGCGCATCCCCGAGAAAGTTCCGCGCATCGGAGACGAGAAACCGTGCAGCGACGACAACTAGCTCGAACGAGCTAGATCCCTAACCGTCGTCTTTCGAACGGACCTATTATTTCATGCGATCGATAAGTTTCTAAATCATCGTCGCGTATAGCACGCGCTCGTAACGTAACAACGAAGCGTTTCTAAATATAAACGGAGGGTACCGAAGATCCCTGCCTCGAGAAACGTCCAATTTGATAGAAAGTCACGCAGACGATATCCCACAGGAACGTGGGTAGAGCGAGGAAGCGGACACAGGGTCCGAGACAGCCAGGCGGATAGACAGCGGCGCACGCGTGCGCGTCGTCCAAGTTCCTCGATAAAGGTGGAAAGGCGTGCGACGCGTGTCCCAGACGGACGGCGTATCAAAGGATATTTGCCCTGTCAACAACGCGGCTTTATGTGGAAACGCCGCTGCGTCTAGAAGGGGAGAACAGCCGTTCGGACCAAGATAATAGTAATGAGCATTATTACTTTGCTCTATTATTTTACGATCTAACGCTTCCCAAGAATCGATACGCTATCTCGCAGTCGTAGTCCGCGTGACCGATCTGTAAACACGCGCGTACTCTTCCGAGGATCGTGGAACGTTCGTGGAAAGTCTCGACGGGGTATTCCGGTCTAGAACTTTACCATGTTTTTTTCAAATAGTTGCCACGATATTTCCACGTCATAATTGATCGAATCAATCGAGATTTGGAGCGCAGGTATCACGTTGTCCCAAAAGTTTCTTTCGTGACTGGCGTTCGCGTTATTTTACGTGGCAGTGTTTGCGTAAACAGACAACCTAATCTCTTAGATGTTAGCGTTACAACAGTGACGGAGTGAAACATAAAACATTGTGAATGTATCGGTTATTAATAAAACGAAAGAAACTTTTCGGACAACCTAATACAAACGGCGCAAGTGGTGAACTTTCTCGAGCCTGGAAAGGGTGCGCACTCGAACGGCTAAGGGTTAATCGTCGATTGGTCCAGGGCTACGCGATACATGTCGTTTTTACGAGAACAGCAGTTTCCTTTTCGCCGACAAACCATTACACTCGTCGCGGTCGCCGATACGATGATTCATCCGCGGTACGCGGTAAACGACAAAAGGCACTCGCGGTTTTGATATACCGTTTCACCGTTTCTCCTTAAAAACGTATCGCACACCGAGAGCTTAGCTTCGAATTAATTAGACCGTGAGCTAGATTACGCCGACCGTTCGATACGTGTACCGAGCGTGAAATAATAAATATTAAACACCTGTGCGGCGTTGGAAACGCGCGCGTGTCTTAAAAATGACCGAATCGAAGCTAGCTTCTGGTAAATAATTCATGAACTATGTCGCGCGAACAAGAAACACGAAGAGAAGAGAAGCAGATGTATTCGGAACTTTGCATCGACGAGCTAATATTATGAATAATGGACGGGATAAATTAGATTCCCAATAGTTTTTTTTTTTTTTTTTTTTTTTTTTTCTAGTCTTCGCGAACTGTTGTAAATGCGCGTGAAATCGGCGGCAACCGCGTAACCGCAATCTAACGGACGGTAATCCTTTTGTTTCGACGGGCAACGTTCGAATCGAGCGAGACGAAGACTAGATTAATAGCGGTTTCAACGGTGGAATCAATGTCACGGAATTTAAACGATATTCCGTGGATTCGTGAGACGATATCGAGTCAACCCACAGGGTACGGCGGTTTTTTTTGCAAGCGTTGTTTATAAATATGCTGGTATTCTCGCGATACGTACTTAAGGTCGACTCAGACTATACGTCACGTTTTAAATTAAAACACGCGTCTTAATGGAACTATTCGCACTTAACAGACACCGACCTGAACGTTCCGTCAACGGGAATAATGCGAATAGTTCCATTAAAACGCGTGTCTCAATGTCTTGTCGTGTCGGTGCCGGTACGTGTCGTATAGTCTGAATCGACCTTCACACGTTACACCCCCTCTTGCGGAATACGACTCTACCGTAACGTAATCGCGGAACGAATGATCCCTGAGTCTCCTCGGACGCTCTTCCTATCTTTAGCGGAATGAGTCAAGATACCTACGACTCGTTAAAAAGTATAAGCGAAAATGATGCTCACCTGCATCTGCAGCCAAGAGTAATCGATGTAGGTGGTGGTAGTGGCGGTGACAGCCCCGGCGACGCTGGACGCGGATGAGATCTGCTGCCAGTTGTCCTGGCCCGTGCAACCAAGTACCGGCAATCCGTCGGGCTGACCCCGATCCGGCACTATCTGATCGGCATACTGATAGGGTGGCTGAATCGTCGGCTGTCCGCCGGAAGGCAAACTTACTGGATGAGGGTGCTGGGCCCCCGAGCCGGCACTGGCGGGCAAGCAGCACACGCTCACGTCCATCCGTGGTGGCGGAGAGTCGTAGAAACGTTGCTGCTCCGGCTCTGGCTGCTCCCAAATCGACCTCCCAAGGGTTAACCCCCGCGGAACCATCCAATCTGCGACCGACACCCCCTTCGTGTACCTGTCACTCGAAATACGGGACGACCGATTTCGCCGATCGGCAACGCCGATGCACCCTTCCTCCCCCCTAGATTTTCTATTATCGACCTCTTCTCTCTTTTCGTCCTTTCTTTCTTTTCGCGTCGACCCCTCGAGGATCGGCACTTATCCTGTCTCAGACCGGACGTCTTTGACTACGTCGTCGCTGTAAGTCATTCGTCCGCGACAATTCTACGTAACCTTCTTCCTAAATCGAGGTCACGCAAACGAACTCTCGCTGAATCGTTGAAATTCGAAGATCGCGATCCCTGTACTCTCGTCACCGATTCTCGAATGCTACGACACGGGGATCGCTCTTTGGGTGTCCGTTCCGATTCCTCGATTCCGAAATCCTGAGGTGGGACGAAATAAATGCGCTCGTTCGCCGTTCTTCCTGGGGGATCATGCTCCGCGGCGGGTTTCGGTTCGTCGTCGTTATTTAGCGCGACGTGATACCGCGAGATTCTGTTCGGCCGATTCGAAGGGCAAACCAACAAAACGGACGACTTTTGCCGGCGACCAAGTCCGAGACCATCTTTCGCGATCTTCCACTCGTTTCGAAGAGAATGACACGCGCGTACACGGTTTCTTAGTACTCGTACGCGGATATCATCGCACCCTGCTTCTTTCTTCTTCTCTCAACTCGCACGAACGGAAGACGATGGCTGTATCTCTATTTTATTCGTGCACATCGAAGACAACCAGCCGTCGTTTCGCATGCTCCAACCGAATTCCATGTTCCCGGCGTAACTGATCCTTCTCGCGTAATTAAGAAACTCGCGGCTTCATTCCGGGTGCTTCTTATACTTCGCGGTAACCCTCGCGGCGCTTTGTCCTGTTCTCCAGGACCAGCTTGGTAGATCGATCCTCCTTGTTCGCGTTGATTCTCGTGCTTTTGGGAAACGTTCGAGCAGAAAGATGACGCGGTTGACCTGCCGCTGTCGATGCGACGCCAGGGTACAGCGGCAGGATTCGCTACGACAGCCAGACATGGAACGTTATCCGCGATCCGACGACTTCGCCGACGGCGAGCGTTCCGTATCGAATCCTCGGTGTTGCTCCGTCGTCGAGATCGCTCGCGATTCGAGGTTTCCGCTGTTCGAAGCTCTTCTATCCTTTCGTCAGCGACACTTGGACGTACGAGTATCCCAAGGAACACACGGCTAACCGAACAATGTACGACTTCGCACAACGTAAAAGTCGACGAACAAAGGACGATAAACAATTTATATTAACGTCTGGATCGTCGCACTTATAGTCTCGAAAATCACTGACCGCGCAACTCGCCGGGACGAAAAGACACGAAACGATCGAGAGACAGGTCGATCGCGGCGAATCGGCGACAACTCCGATACGGTCGCGCCTTATCGCGAGCACCGTCGACGCATGACAACCGGACACTCTTGGTCGCGATACGCGAAACGAGGAAGAGGAAGAGGTGGAGAACGCGGCGAGTTGGAAGAGGGAGGACAAAGAGCAGGGGGAGGAGACGGAGGTGGCGGTGGAGGTGGAGTCGAAGGAGGAGAGGAGTCGAGGCTCGGGCCGAACGATCTTCGAGAATCGGAGGGTGGCTTTGAAATCGAAACGATCTCGAGGGAAGCACAGCGAAGACGACGAATTAGAAACGCGCATGGATGCCGATCGTCGAGGACGAGGAACGTTTCTCGGTGGTGACGACGCGTCGTCGGTCTCTTTTCGTCGGGGCGACTGCGAGGACGAATGTGAAAGAGCAACAACGCGGGAAGAAGAGAACGCGCGAAATAGCGAAGAGCAGTAGGAGTCGCGGGGGAGGCGAATGGTATCGGGGGAGTAGATACGCTGGAAAGTACCGATGGAGAACCAGCAACGGCGGTGGTGGTGGCGATGGTGACGGTGGTGGTGGTAGCAGTAGCAATGGTGGTGGCGGCGACGACGACGGCGGCGACGAAGGTGACGGCAAGCGGTGGTGGTGGTTCGACGGACGGTGGCGGAGGTGGAGAAAAGGTGGTAGTAGTGGTAGAGGCAAGGGTGGCGAATGCAACTGGTGCTCGTGACGCGATTTGGTGCCCCCGGTATCGCGTACGCGCATGCGTGAACGCGTGTCGTCAAGGCAACGGTTCCGGAGTAACTGCCTGGTGAACGCAGCCCTCCACGGACCGTACTCTTTTCGCTCCCTCGCTCCTTCTGTCTCTGTTCCGCCACGCTCGCGTCTACTTCTGCCTTGTGCTTCTGGCTGGCTCACGCCCCGGGCGCGACCGATCCCAACCGATCCGAGCGGTCTAGGCGGCCATCAAGCACGCCCCCGTCTCGTCGCTCGCCCGTCTCTTTCACTCTCTACCCCTCTATCGCTCTCCCTGCTCCATCGCCATCTCCTCCTCCGCCTCCTTCTCTCTTCCTCCTTCTGCTCTTTGCGTTGCGACGCCCGTCTCCTATCTGGCTCCGTTCTCCACCTTCCCTCTCTCTCTCGCACACGCGCACACCCCCTCCGACTTCCAATCCTTTCCTCTTTTCATCTCATGCGCGATGTTTTCCTCTTCGTCCAACCATAACTCCCTCTCTTCCTCTTCTTCGCGTACGACTGTACCCGTCTTCCCTCTTCGATGCTTTCGATCGCTCTTCGTTCCTCTCCAAGGATCGCTCGTTCTCGATCTCAGTCTCCCTCCAGAGTACGATTATCGCCGAGAGCTATCCAGGGACTCCTACCACCGATGACTTTGGCACACTTCTCCTCGATCGTTGCTTCTTCTCTTCTTTTTTCCTTACCTCTCGACACGATGTCGGGACGTGTCGTGGCTCAACCCCCTAGTGTCTTCACTGGAATTCAACAAATGCCTCGGGGCAGGAAACGTCGCTTGTCTTTGATTTTCCGGCGATTCGAGCTCGTACGGAGCGCTAAATTCGTGGAGCACCGCGCGAGATCTCTAATCAGGACCAGTACAGGCATAGGATTAAAGGTAAAGGAATCTTCTCGGAAACTTCAGGGTATTCCGTGAAAATATCTGGAGGTTACCGATTACTTTGATATGTACCCTCTTTGACGCCATACAACTTTTGCTCGTAACATCTTTTCATATACAGTGGGCGTAGAATGTATTCGTACACCGATCAATTTCTCAAAAAGTTTCGTATGAAATTTTAGTTTATTAACTTCTTTCTTTATAATCAATGATTTTCTACATATTCTCGGAAATCTAGAATAGATATAGTCCAAACAACAATTATTAGTTTATATAGTTTGCGAAATTAACAAGAAAACAAATCGCTTTATCGCTTCGTACAAATTAGAAAGCATGAAATTTTCCGGTAAATAGGAAAATGGACAAAAATTTCATCCCGAATAACGTCAACATTTAGTTAATTTAAATTTCGTTACTCTGTATAAATAACTAAGTTTTTTGTACTTTGTCTATTCTAGAGATTTCCAAGAGTATGTAGAATATCATTGATAATAAAAATATCATTGATAATCAAAAATAAGTTAATAAATTACAATTTCATGTAGTTTTTTGGAAAATGATCGGCGCACGAATACTTTCTACACCAACTGTAACAATCAGTTTACGAGTAACTTGAGGTGATCGATTTCGCAAACAATTACCGAATCGCTTAGAGATGAAGCCAACGTCGACGTCGAATAGCGTCCTTTGCAATCTTCCCGCGCGAGTAAATGCAACCAAAACAAAAGGTCGTCGTCGGTCCTGCTGTCGACGGCCATCGAACCCGATTTCATGTTCGATCGAGCCTCCATGCCCGAAACGCGCGACGGAAAGATCATCCTGTTCTATCGAGTCCCGTTTCGCTTGCAACCGCGAGCTTCCGTCTCCGTCTCGTTCGCAACATTTTCTTCTCCCGATCTTCCTCTTGAACAACGGGAACGGCCATAGCTATTCCGCCAACGCTTGTCTGACGTCACCTTACTACGACTAACGTCTCGTCTCTCGTTCCGCTCGCAATCACCCGCGCGGAGGTGACTTTTTGCCGTTGATCACGGACAATTTTACGGCCGCAATTTCCAAAGTATGCTAAACAGTAGGACGATCGGACAGCTCGAAGAAACGATAAACGAACGCGCAAACGCGCCATCGTCGTAAATCCCCGATGATTAATTTTCGAACCGTTCAAATCGCTCGATCGTCGCCGAGAGCAACAATGTAGAAACCTGACTTACTGGGAACCAACTTCAAACATCGTTGCTATGTCAACAAAATATATTAGATGGACTTGAAAGTAATATCGTTTCTTTTATATCAAGTTCGAACAAGTTTTTAATATATTTCTATGTGTAATTAATCGCCCTCGTTATCAACAGCCTTTTGTTATCTAGTGCGCAAATTATGAATACCAGATCGGTGAAAATCGATGAGCTGACGAGTGATAAATAAGTATTTAAAATTGCAAAAAACGACATTACTTTCCAGTCCACCTAATAGAATATTTGTAACCTTTAACATTTTCAGATGCGTGAATCTGGATGCCTAGCTCCGTCAAAGAATGTTACGATCGATTCGATGGTTACATGGATCTTAATCGTCAGATACGGAGGGGTTAAATGGAAGCTGAACGTAAACGATCGCGATCGCGATTCTGGTTGAATTCGGAGTACAACGAAGCGCGACGTATTTGTGTGTAATATATGCGGCAACAAGCATCTCGAATCTCTCCCCTCCCACGGAGCCAGAGATTCCCTTTCTCTTTAGATTGTGAAACGATTTTCTATCGTGGCGCTTTAGCTTTGCGGATTTATTATATATGCAACGGGTTACGCAAATTACGACAAAGTGCAAATATTTCACATGACCTGCACCTGCATGACTCCCCTTTCTACGCGCGATCATTTAAGCGGACGCGTGAAACGTAACGCGACGGTCTCAGGGATGTTTTCGCTCCGATCCGGCCCGACCCACCCCTTACAAGGCTTGTTGCCCTTTCAACTCGCAGACTTCAACCTTTAAGGCGTGGTTCTCGTTCGTTTCGATACAAAATCTGTCCTTTTATTGATTACAAATTTATAACGGTATTCCAACGTCTTCGAAGGATCGTGGATTTCTTTAGGGGAGGTATACGTCACGCTCTCTTGTCCATATCTTAGAGCACCGATAAATTCTTTATTATACTCTCCAGTTCTCTTACCTAAAACAACAAAAATATATCATAAAATGTTTGCTTTCTTAGCGATACGCATACTTCAGACCGTGATTGTTTATCTGAGATTGATAAACTGCTACCAATAATCATTGGTAAGCTTTCCTCGGGCATCTATTAGAAATTAAACACAGGCTGTCCTCGTACTATGTTCTCGTAATCGTTATCAATGTTTAGAAGATATGGCTCTGTGGGAAACCAGCGAGAGAAAGTGAACGCGCGTATCGCTGTCGGATGAAAAGGGAGTCTGGCATAGACGTAAGGGTAGCACGACCAAAGTTGAGCGAGGAAACAGAGGAACGGAAAATTGTACGGCTAGGTACTGGAACGACTAGCGTGTCAAAAGCCACTGCGGTGGGGTCGTGGTAGCAACTATTTAAGTAGTAGCTAGAATTCGAGTTGCATCACAGGCAACCCCCCACTATCAAGACGGAAGCAGCGCAACTTATGAATGGAAGTACTCGCCCATTGGTCGGCTTCGATAGCCAATGGCTGACTGCTAGCGACCCTCTTTACGCTATTCCGCGCGAGTTCGTCGCCGCGCAAATCCTCGGAGAATATTCGCGCTACCGATATCCTTGAAACCGATCGAAAGTTGAAATCATATGCTTAATATCAGTGAACGTGCAACCCTTTACATTTCAGGCAAAGGGAAATGGTCGTGAAATATTTGACGATCTTCCACAGCCACAACAGAAACTAAATAACTAAAAATAGGGATGCGTTCAACGATAATCGAATTGTATCGTATCGTTCGGCCGATGATCGCTGGGTATAGGTAAATCATCGTTAATTATCACGCGCATCGGGTCCAAATGATGACGTAATAATACTGCAAAAAGCGAACAAGAGTGAGAGAATACACATAGAAGGAACAGACAGAAATTAGCATAATGATAGGTACGAGTGTAGGCTTATCGCCTTCTTTCGAATTGCAAATGCGATCCCGGGTACATCTTTAATTCTATCTACCATTACGATTTCTGAATCATACGTATGGTGTAACTACGTGCGCTGATTCACTTGTCTGTCAGGCGGGTTTAAGTAGAAACTACCTAAAACATTTCTGTCCAATAGATTAAGTTAAGGGATGAAACTATCTAATTTTTGACTTCTAAACAACCGTTTCCATCATAGATCGCAAAAACAAAAATGCGATTTGTTTCGTGCGTGCATTGATAATTAAAAATAAAAATGACTTTAACCAAGTACAATATCAGGATCAAGACTGGCTATTACGCGTATGCTCGTGCGCATAGAAAAGTATGAATGTAAGAGCGTTCGTGCCGATTCAAGTGCCGATAGGAGAATATAGCAAATACCGAATAGCAATTATCGGCCAGCTAACGCACGTTAAGTATAGGGAAGAGACGTCGGCAACGCTCTTATGAAAGGGAAATGAAATTCTGTTGGGCACGTCAAGGTGATAGTAAGATGACACCATAGTTGTCACAACATACATATAACATTGTGCACTCGTGCACTGTGCTCTGCTCCTATGAATCTGTAATAAACGTTCTCCTATTGGTTCAACCATCTTTTAGATACTTTTACTCGTTTGAGCTGTTTCCTTGTTCTACCACAAAGTAGTAACTAAATACGTTACTACATTTTGTACCACCTTAAAACTGCCTTCGAAATTTATTATCAAAATGTAATACATTGTACGAAGCCGTTATGTTCAAATTCTAACATTTGCTCATCGAACGCATACCGTTTACTTCAACTCCAAATGGTGTCCCTGGTCTCTGATTGAAAAGTTGTATCTTCCAAAAGTTCTATGTCTTGTACTGGTCGATCTCTTTGCGTGGGTCCATGACTAAAAACAAAATTTATTTTGTAAACATCTGCGATAGAAGATTTACGTATAGTAACCTAAGTTTTAAGTAACTACTACAAAGAACGCATCTTTTTTTTATTTAATCGTTTAAAATAGATTATACCCGTGATATTTTTTATAGTACTCTGCTCTGTTCTGTCTCCGTAAATCTTCATAAGTTGTATGCGGTTTAAGATTAATTGGTACATCTGTTGATAACTCTTCTCCTAGATCATTGCTTGTAGTAACAAATTCACTGCCTTGGAACAAAATTAATGAACTTGAAAGTTAGAGCAACTATTACTTTTCCTCCAACCAAACTTACTATTGCCAGAAGTATCGTAAGTGTTCCATGCCAAGGCATTCTCTTTTGAGTTGCCGAATGATTCGGACAGCACACTTTCTTGATCAAAGCTGTCGTGTGACATACCTCTAAAAACACATTAAATTGTTCTACAAATAACAAAAAGTTTTATACATTTATAGAAAATAAATAATACCCTTTTTGAGAAAACTTTTCACGTGTGATCATCTGGAAGATACTAGGTGCATGTTTCTCTAAGCATACTACAGAATATTTTACTCTCCCAAGGGTGTATCCTACTAAACCCATAATGGCTGTTATCACATGTCCTACTTGTCCAAATTTAAGTGTAGAAGATACAACATAGGATACACCTGCCGCTGTTAATCCATAAGGGAGAGCAGACTTGTAAATGGCATCACTTTCCATGCATTTTTTATAGGCTTCTCGAGTTTCTGGTGGTAATCTCTGAAACTACAGTTTAACAATATTTATTACATCTGATTATAAATAATTTGCATTAACTGGTAGAAAACTACACTTAATTCATAGTAATTCTAAATATATAAATTTACCGTCTCGGTTATTCGTTCAGTCATTCCCTGCATTTGTTGAAAACTCATATTCCTAGATGACGACGCGGGATCGGCTACTGATAAATCACCTGCATATTTTCCTTCTTGCTCCATTTCATTTGGTACGTAATTACTCATGGTAAAGTGATAAATAATGACAAATCACCACAAAATATGAAATAACGTATTCTCACAAATGCGACATGCAAAGTTATAGCACTAGCTCCTCTGATAGACTCCAAACGGAAAAAGTTATAGTATCGCCATCTCGCGGTTAAAAGGTCGAACTAAAACCGGAGTATGGTCAGCGCCTCTATCGGGAAAACGCCCAAGTTTGTCCTGGAATAGTTCCTATTTTTACTGCTAGATGGTAATGGTTTTTACCGACATGATGGTAATGTACCAACACACGTCGGTAAAAATCTTTAAAATAGCGCCATCTAGCGGAGAAACTACGAACTGTCCTAGAATAAACTTGGGCGTTTTCCCGATAAAGGCGCTGACTAAACTCCGAAAATAGTTTGATATATTCACCGTTAGATGGCTAATCATTTCATACAAAATAGCGGGAACTCGCAAGAGAAACTGTAACAGTTTAAAAAACTCGTTTAATTGAATCTGAACGGCGCGATTGTTAAACACAATTTTTCCGTTGATAAAATGGAGTAATTTGGGAAAATAATCATAATAATTGAAGTAAAACTATTGTTAATGCACGGTATATAGAAATATCAAATTAAAATAATAACAGTATTATTACATAAATCATGGGATAGCTAATGATGATGGACAAGGTAAAATAGATTATGATAAATTGTTTCGCTTAAAATATTAATTTAAAAAAAAGTACATCGAAATATTATCAACAATATCTCATTCGCTAAAAAAAAAAACAGATATTTATATCATTATCAGCTCAAAAATAAGTATGCTGTGTACAAATTGTATTGATTTTATATCATTGTTTTTATTGGACAATCTTCAACTAAGGTAAACTTTGTAACAACTTCTAATTTTACCATTTATCACATTGCAAAAATATTTATTCAAGTTCTTTGATAATTTAAAAATAGTATGCCAAGTGCTCACACTATCCTGTTTTAAAATATCTGTGTATCTATAAAGTGAGTCGCATAAACCACTTTATTCACATCTATGTACTAACTTAATAAGTACAGAAGCTTATAATACATTGCAGCTCACCAGGAAAATATTCCATGTACTTTGACCAATACATATACATATATATCTTTAGATAAACATATCCATATTTTTAATGTTTTTTATACCAACTATCATTAAATCGAAAATCATAAATGTTAATACTTTCTAAGTTTATTTTATAAACACACAAGTTACATTTATTAAATGTTACATTCTATATACCTCTGAAGTATTCTAGCTATGTAGATTGTTTACTAGGACTTCCCCATTGTAAATTTCCGTTCCCACTTATGAACAAGATGAAAATATATATAATGACATACGTTACACCTGTAAGTTAGAAAGGGGGAATGGTGCTAATAAAGCAGTACTGTATGCTATAAAAGTAGCCATTCGGAAATGAGAAGTACTGTTGAAAATGTTGTGTAATAGTGAAATCCAACAAGACTTTAAAACTTTTCGAGTAATGTTCTCGATATTAGTTCTATTGTACATATCTGTGCAATTAAGTGTAACATTGCCTATGTCAGATACGGATTATAGTACAACAGCTGCCATATTAACAAACAATTCAACAAATGATACGGTTGATGATAATTTGTAAGAAAATTGCAATTTGTAAAATTTTCAACACTACAATGGTAGTTCATTTAATTTGAAGAATATTTTTTTTGTATTCTAGATATGTCATAAAAGCAGTGGTATATGAAATTGGCATTCTAACAGATGCAAATGACACAAATGATGATCCCACAGAGAGGTAATGTATAAATAACTTTCTTTTATTTCTGTAAACTATACATTCAAATTTTGTCCATAGGCAAGATGTTAAAATTTCATTCTACAATCCACCAAGTAAAAATGAAGGAACTTAGAAAGCAATTCTAATTCATGTACCTGGTATTACTTGACACATTACATATAGCCATTCATGAAATGTTGATAATGTAAACACACACTAGTATATTATTAAATAAGATTTTTAAAGAATAAAATTGCAAAATTTTAATTACTTAATCAATTTACTTATGTACATTGATTTTTTTCCTTAAAAACTGAAATGATTACTCATAAAAATGTAATTATTCATTGTAAATAAATCTTCTATTTTAATTGAAAATATATTTATACTATGGTTATACTATAAATATATTTATACTATGGTAAGATGTTACTTGTGTATGTATGTAATGTAACATAAAAATTAAATATTTCTAAGTAAATTAGATATTATACTTGTATTTACATTACATGTAGTTGTATATTAAGCAATAAATCAATATATTACCTATTATTTTCCTCTATCATTGACGTCCAAATACATATTTAATATTTAATTAATTCTTCGATCGATGTTAGATTTTAAGCGAGATCTAAATAGAATTGTACATAGATTCCTATGTTTGAAATAAATTCAAAACCACAACATATAATTTAAATATTTTCTCTAATCTTATGGGAATTACTACATTACAGATATCTCTGATGTTGGATTAGTAATATGTAATCCAAAGTTGTCCAATGTAATAATCGTAATGGATATCAGAGTGTGACACCTAACCTATAATATGTATCGTAAAAGCACAATGATAATAATTTTAAGCTTATACAGTTTAATTATTTAAGTACACATGTCAAAAACTATAAGGCGTCTAGTTTTTTTGGAAATATTGTAAATATGTGCAAGGAAAAAGTATCGATCAACGAGGTATAACGGAATAATGATTGAGTATTAAATTGTATTTAAATAAAATTGAAAGCGACTCACGCAATATAAATAAACTAAAATTTGTCAAATAGTAAAGATTAGTTAAATTTCATTGGGTGCAAATATCAGAAAAGGTAGGAGCTATAGCTTACTTTTATTAAATTTACAAAATGACCTTGGAAGATGCTCAAAATGCAGCCAGAAAAGCTGTACAATTTGATAGTAAAAGTCAATATAGACAAGCTTTGTATTATTACAATGTTGCTATACAATGCCTCACCAAATTACAAGATCCTGTATACAATCAGAAACTTGCAGAATACGAGGAAAGAATATCGACCATACGATCTCTTAGTAAGTTTGTGATTTCAATGAAAATTATACATAGTAACAGAATGTCAAACAGTGAGTAGAATAAATGATATTATCAAAATCTTACAGTTGAAGAAGAAGAGCAGAAGCATCATAAAGCACAGACCATGCATCAGTCTGAGTTACAGAGGTGTAAGTTTCTTATAAACCAAGCCCAAGATGCAGATGAAGCTGGATTAAAAGATGTAGCTGTGAAATTATACACAGATGCTGCTGAACTTGGACTTAATGTTGTATGTAAAATGATTTTTTAACTCCATATAAATTTGGTATATGGAATATTGGAAATAATCTTTAATATTATAATTACAGAAAAGTACAGACTCTGAAATGAAAGGAAAAGTGACTGCTCTTGTTCGACTTGCTCTTGATAGAGCAGAAACTCTAAAAGGGTTTAAAAAGGAAGACACTAATATTATTAAATCACTTTCCCAATTGCCTCCTGTACCAGAAACAAATTTAGATATGGATATGGATAAAGAATCATTTTCGACAACAACATCCACAAGTACTAGTAACATAGGTAATAAAGATACCCATGTTGATAGCCATAACAAAACTAATCATTCCTTTTAATAATTTTCAGGAAGACAAACTCGACCACCTCTTCATCGTGGGAGTAGTGCACACTTGAAAGTAACTGGTAATAATAGTAATTATACGGACGAGGAGAAAAGAGTTTTACTTCATAGTTCTCATATTAATGAACATGAATTCGTACCTTTTATGAGTATCGATCTTAGAGAAAAATTTCAGTACGCCATTCCGTTCACCGACAAAGATGGTTTACTAGAATTAGCGCCAAAACAAAAGCCTGATTTTGCAAGGTGGTGTCGACCAGAAGAATTATTTTCCGAGCCGAAAATGGTTATGGGTCACCATGTTGATTACTACAGTATAAAGCAGACTGTTAGTAACAAAAGCTGGCAGTTTTCTTGTTAATTTGTATTTCTTCTTGCTAATACTTTTCGGTACACCAATGTTTAATTTCAGGTTGTTTCCGATTGCTCCTTTGTCGCCTCGCTTGCTGTTAGCGCCCAGTATGAAAAAAGATTTGGCCGTAGATTAATCACGTCTATTATTTATCCAAAGAATAGGAATAAGGAACCGATTTACAATCCATTTGGTAAGAGTTCAATTATTTCGACTCATAAAGATTTTTGGATACTTGTAATTTCTCTAGAACTTTAGTAGAAATTAAATCGTGAGTATTTTATACTAGGAAAGTACATGGTGAAACTACACATTAACGGTGTTCCACGCAAAGTTATAATAGATGATTTATTGCCTGTAAGCAGATACAACCAATTACTTTGTTCCTACTCTAGCAATCACGGAGAGCTGTGGATCTCGTTACTTGAGAAGGCATACATGAAAGTAATGGGTGGTTATGATTTTCCTGGCTCAAATAGTGTAAATTCATTTTTATACGATATAAGTATACTGCTAATACAAAAATAGAAAATGTTTATGCAATAATATTTTTTTTTTTAGAATATAGATTTACATGCTTTAACTGGTTGGATACCTGAGCGATGGGTTAATAGGCCAGATGATCCAGATTTTAATAAAGACAGTTTATTTAATATTTTATTAGCGCGATTACACAAAGGAGATGTGTTGGTAACAGTAGCTACTGGAGAATTATCCGATTCAGATGCTGATAGAACAGGTCTGGTGCAGACTCACGCGTATGCTGTTCTTGATGTTAGAAAGATAAATGTGAGCACGAATTTATAAATACAATAAAACAGAGTAAAAAATGAACAATTTAAAAAACATTTACACAGGGAGAAAAATTACTGCAACTTAAAAATCCTTGGTCGCACTTGCGATGGAAAGGAAATTATTCCGAACTCGATGCTGTACATTGGACTAATGAATTAAAAGAAACATTAAATTATGACCCAGATTCTGCGTCCCAATTTGATAATGGTATATTCTGGATTGATTATGACAGTATATGTACCTTTTTCGATGTCTTTTATTTGAATTGGAACCCAGGTCTATTTAACTATACATATTGTATTCATCAGTAAGTTGGAAAATCTTCAATCTCTTTTAAACTGATGAATTCATTATTCTTACGAGCGTAAACACTTGTTGCAGAATGTGGAATGCAGGAATAGGCCCAGTAAAAGATGGATATAATATCGGCGATAATCCTCAATTTTTACTGGAAGTACAAAGCAATGTTACAGGAGTGGTATGGATCCTCCTCACGAGACATATTACAGACATCGCTGATTTTCGACAAAATCAAGAATATATAACAGTATTAGTTTATCAGAATGATGGAAAAAGAGTATACTATCCTCGTAAGTAAAATAATTTGACTGTAATATATTGAGAAAAAATAATTCGATCATACATAAACATTCGATCATACATAAACATTCGATCATACAGATGACCCGGCACCGTACATCGGTGGTGTAAGAATAAATAGTCCACACTATCTTTGCAAAATAAAGCTAGATACCGAAAATAATACTCGATATACTCTAGTCGTATCACAGTATGAAAAAACGAATACAATATACTATACTTTACGTGCGTATGGTACATGCCCATTCACGTTACGCAAGATACCGAATTTGTATAAATACGAAAAGGAGGTATACAATTTTCACACTCTATGCAAATATATTTACTGTTTAATATTTCTTTTACAGTAATAATAATAATAATCTTTTAGGTCACTGATGGTCAGTGGAAAGGTATTACAGCTGGCGGATGCAGTAATCATGAAACATATGAAAATAATCCGCGATACCAATTAGTGTTAGAAAGTTCAAATAATAATAATTATGTATTGATTATATTGAAAGGACCAAAGCAATATCAAATTGGTTTCAATATTATGTCAGTTGTATTAAATGACGCTGATGCACCCGGTGCATTCAAAATGAAAACCTCGGGACCATTCAGGTATTATATAGAACGCATGTATGCAGCAATATATAGATGGAAAATGTACTAATTACATAAATATCCTAGGTCGGGTTTTGTTTATCTTGAATTAGATGATGTGCCAGCTGGAACGTATAATATTATTCCATCAACATACATTCCCGGACAAGAAGGACCTTTCTTTTTAACTTGTAAATCGTCTTGTAAATTGCAACTTCAGCGGCTTCAGTAACGTAACGGATCTATATATGAATTACTGTTTTGTACAAAAGAAAATGTTAATAATATGTTGTTCAATTATAATAAGCACAATATATGACTAATAATTTATACGCACCAATTGTGATATATTGTAAAATATTTATACTTGCCGTTATTAAAATGTCAACATCGTTAAGAATATAAAATTAATTATGGAATTTCAATAATTTTAATTAAAATAATTATTAATGTATCAAAGTACACGTTAATGTTGTAAGCGATGAAACAGTAAGAGGAAAATGATTGAACACTGAATTATTATAAAATGCTTTTATTTTATATTGTAGAAGTACAAATTAGTAACGAGACTAGACAACTACTGACTGTATTCTGAAGATTTGTGGCACTTTATTTATAATTAGCATTTGCTTGGGGTGCTATCGTTTGGCACGTACATAGCTGAATATCGATGAATATAGTTTCTTAATATCTCGATCAACTATTTAATATTCTTTGTACTATTTTTATGTACATATACGCGGTAGGAAAACATTCTTTTGGATCAATTGTATCAAATGAATACTATATGGCATACATGTATATATTCTTTCAAAATGCAATGTAAATACAGTAACAATTTTTTTAAGAATATTATTACTGTTTTGCATGAAAATTACAAGAAAAACATAACAAAACACATTACGTTTTTGTTCTATTTCATGTATATCACTGTATTTTGCACCTATCGTGTAGAAACTATATTCTAAAATATTAATTCTGAATTTTACAGAATCTTTCTATTCCTTTTGATTACATCTTTACTTTATACCTATTTGTATTTCTTCAAAACGAGTGCAGTGTTCTATATTGCAAATACACTGTAATATAATAACAAAAATGCTACTCAATCAATTTAACATTTCTATACTTATGTTCATTTGTCGAAAGCAGTTTGAATTATAAACTAATAATAACACTTAAAACTGTTATTACATACGGTGTTACTTTTCTATTAACACAATAGTAATTGTAAATAAATAATTACGCAATTTATATGAAAACATGGTTCATGAAATAGGAATTGAATGAAATGTATATATATTTACATAATTGTTGACAGATAAATTATAAAAAAAAGAAATTATGGACAATTATACAAAAAATATACAGAAATTCGATATTAATGTAAAATGAGACTGTAAAGAAAACTGCATCGAGTGAAACTGTTAAAGTATAACAGTTATACATTCTCGCTTTGTAACTACGATTTGGATGCACATGTAGAAGGCACTATTGTCAATAATTTAGATAAATGTTATTATCGATAACATGAAGAGTATCAAAATGATATTGCGCTTTTACAGTCCTGTCTACTGTTATGATATGCCTAACAGATTCACCCAATCTTTAATTATTTATTATCGAAAATATTTAACAACAAAGTAGTGACCCTTTGCAGTCCAATTTTGTGTATTCGAAAAATGGTCTTTTAGACTTATATATCTATATTCTCTACCTCGTTAAATTCGATTATCCTATCAACCAGAACGATAAATTAATGAAAATTCTCACGAAATATATTTCGTATTTGTGGTTTCTAGCCAATTTTTATCTTATGTAATTTGTCAACATTTTTATAATTAAACCTGCATAAATAAAAGTAGTTATTTATCAATAATTAATACTTTATAGAACCGCAAAGGATTACAATGTATATATATACATATATACATAAACGAGACATGTCACGATTTTATTTGAATCATTGCAAAAGTGAATCGACTTTGTATTTGTATAAATGTTCTATACCAGATTTTTTGTTCAATTTTTGTCATTATGTGTCCTTTCCACTTAAAGATTATGTTTTTGTGCGTGAAAGATAAGTTTATGACAAATTTTAAACATTACAAAATGAATGATGTAACTTCATAATTTTTGTAGACGTTGTATATGCAAGACACAAAAATGGGCGGAAAGTAGAACACATGGTACAGGTATAAGAAAATAGTGCGCTTTGTTAACATTATTAGAAGGTTTAAAGGACGTTAATGATTCTGAAAGAGGCATCTTTTCGCGATGGAGTACTTCGTGTAGTACATTTTTCATCGCTCTCGATTTACTATTTTATCAAACAGTTACTGAAACGAGAACATCGAAATTCGTCATCGTTTTTAATTTATATTGATCTTATTTCAAAATAATTTGAACTTTGTTTAATATTAGAACACCATAGTATTTCCTCCTTAAACAGTTTTCTTTACTACGCACGTTAAACTTGTACTTTTACACGTAAAATGAGCGTAGATTTAGAGACGCTTTATTTTTTGTTTATTTTTTTTGTTTTTGTTTTTTTTTTTTTTTTTTTTAATAAAAACTAAACTGTACACTGTATATACGTTATTAGAAATTGTTATCATTGCTATAAGTAGTGTATCATGTCTAATTGTACGTTAAAAATAGGGACGAATCGTTAGAAGTTCAAATATTTTTTTTATGTTATGTGAGCACTTTTGATTTTTTGAAATAATTAAATACGGTCAAACAAGATTTACAATTGATTTGCTCATTTCAAAATGTGTAAATACCTTTAAGGATTCGAAAATTACATTGTTAGCATTGCTGACGGAAAGAATTGATTTTCACAATTTAAGAAGAACATTAATAACGTTTGGAATTTAACTTTTCGTACCTCTTTAACTTATTTCATATATGGAAATCAAAATCTGTAATAACAGTTAAAGTATAATAAAAAAAATTGTTTTAAATAATACTTTGTCATTTATATGTTCAACTTAAACATAAGTTAGTAAACTTAATTCACCAGAACATCATATAAATTAAAAGAGAAATCTTGAAAAACCCTCCTCAAATCGGAGGAGCGAAAAGTTATATTTTCTCGATAATTAAGTTTCTAGATGAAAAATAGATTCGCAAAAGGATAGAAAATACCTATTTTAAATAGTATATATCTTTGTTACTAATCAATAATATATGTGCATATTATTGTCCGAGTATAAAATTATCCTCTAGTGATGTGATGTTTTAGTAAAATGTAAGAAAAATGGTAATTACAATGCGTTTCAGTTTGTGTTTCTTTCACCTACTGAATTCAGGAAGTGGTTTAGCTATGCCTTCGCTGTAAGCTTTGTGGACTGCTTCGCACACGAATCTGTACTGACTCTATAAAAAAAAGTTAACAAAGTTATAGCATCTATTCAAATTTTGATCGAATATATCGTTCAAAAATTCAACTTACAGCATTTTGTATCATCATCGCTCTTTGATCTCTCATAGATCGCACAATGTCTAACGGGTACACTGGTTGATTTGCTTCGATAAGACACAGTGCTGTTTCCATTAACACTAAAACACCTGTTCTACCAATTCCAGCAGAACAATGAACAACGCCAGGTTCTACTATCCCTGTTCGAGCTGCCCGTACTCTTTCAGTGAAGGTTGTAAATTGTCGCCAATCACTGGGAACTCCATGATCTGGCCAACTACAGTACTGCATATGCGTTATATCTCTTTCTTCGCCAGTCTGAAATGCATAGGGACGAGTAATGAACTCAAGTAAAATAGACTTGGCGTTTAACGTGTTTCTAACAAAATGTTGCATACATTAATATCACGCAGTATGAACTCCCGAAATATAAAGGTGTCTTCAATGTTTTCCACCGTAGATGTGAGAGTAAGATTTCGTAATGTAAGGGTTTCATTGAGCGCAGGCCAATATTGATGGCATTTCGCTCGGCCACGTTCAACCAAAGTTGTTAGCATTACAACTAGGGTACTGCCTGCCTCTAGAACCATCTGCCAGAAATCAGCAACGGTAGAAGACAAAGGTCCTTGAGTGGCAATGTATCTGTTAATAATACCCGATCCTGGTATCTCCATGTTTACGTAATTGGCATTGATGTAATCGCCGTTTGCGGAGCCCATCAGTATTACCCGAGTGACATCGTCTAAACATTATACAATACAGTTCATTAAGTTGTTATCAATACAAATTTCTTAGACTCTTTTTCGTCATACTTACAAGGTGAGATATCTCGATAACGATTTTTGCTCTGATTTTCTGGTTTCTTAGATTCGAGGGAAGTGAGCTCAGGATTTTTCCTATACAATTGTTCGTATTGTGCAATTAAAGCACCGCTTGCGAGACCATCGGCAAGAAGCAACATTGACTGTGCTAATGCATCCGATCCAATAGTAGCATGAGGCACATCTGGTACATATCTCGTAATTTGAAGAAAGCAAAGTTTAGTATGGCCTGTATCATAGTTACTGTCATTCTGTTTGTAATTAAATGTCATACCTATACGGAGGTTCTTCTTCGGAGGTTTCATCGGTACCAGCTAGTGCATTGTATAAAGCATTCGGCCTAACAGTTAACGTCAGCTCACCAGAACCCGAATCGCGAGACTGACGAATCAGATTTACTACATGTTCATGCAGTAAGCCACTCACGTCTATACCATTAATGTAAACTACCTATTTGTCCAACAGAAATATAATAAAAATTTATTTACGTGACAGCTGCTCGAGTAACCAATTAAGAACGTCTTCGTTGCGAGTCGTTCAAACAATACCTGATCTCCTTCGTTTAATTTTGGATAACAACGGTCGGCAGGTGTATTCGGAGCTACTCTCGAAACTAAAATAGGCATGTCAAGATCTAAACCACCTTTCACGTTAAATCCGAATCGGCCTTGTTCGTCTGGTGTTAAGGTTATCGTTACTAATCCATCTTCAACTATCTATAAGTGGACACATTTGATATTATACGCTTTAGAAGCAAAATAATGTTAATGAAAATAAAAAGATTGAACGCGAAAATACCTGAGGAGCGGGTGAACTTGTGGGTTCGCTATAATCAGGAAGATCGTAAATATTTCTTTCCGCAGTTGTGTCATCGTCCGCGTAACTTAAAACTCTAGAACCTAGTACAGGAGAAAATGCATTGCCTTGCGTATGTGAACCCGTTATTTCTTCTCGAAGAGATAAAAAACCACCTTCGCTATGGGACAAAAATAATGACTTAAAAATACTTTCAAAGAAGTATAAGTTGAAACAAATATTTTCAACTAACTCATCGCTAGGATTGCCCTCGCCCCAAGCTTGACGAGGTTCACGAGATCCGAGAGATTGAACTTTATTGTCGTATGGCCTAGGAGGTCTTCCAGGAGGCATACCTAATTTTCCTTTCTCTTCTATAATTGGACCTGATGTGACTCCATGTACCAATCTTTTACTGGGGGACCTAAGATTTAAATTATTGTAGTCGCTAGGAGATTGTCTCAACGGGCTATCGGAAAATTAAACAAGCTATCGTTACCGTATGAATGTTCTCTCTACTCTTGCTCTATGTTTTCCATCTTCGACTGTTTGAAACTCTGTACGTCCTGAATATGTAAATCTACTACTTAAAGTAAGCGGAAAACGTCTCGGCCTCATTTTGGGACTGTGAAGTCTGAAAAATGTGTGATGTTCCACGCATGCCTTCCATAAGTTTTTGGAACTACGATATGTTTGCATGTTGAAACCCAGTAATGTATCGTAATTTTCCGACTGCAATACAATCTTTTCTATATCTGAGCCAAATCTTACATGTTTATTTTTAAAAATTATAGACATTAGATGTTCTAAATACCTGCTCTCTTCTCAATTGAATAAAAAACTGTTTTCGTTTAAATGAAATTTTAACTATTTTTGACCATGAGAACACATTGATTTTCATTCCATTTTGAAATACTACTAAACCTATGGACGTTACACCTAATTGTATTTCTTTATTCATTGAGTCCTGTAAAAAAATGGGTAAAGAAAATTGAGATAAAACAGAAGCATTCAATATTTACAGGAAATATTTTAATGTGAATACATACTCTAGCTTTATGCAATTCCACTCCATACATATCTAATCTTTTTGCATGATCTAAAAAATTGAATTCTGCATCAGCTGGTAGTTGTCCCCTGAAAATATGTAAATAGTTTATAATTGATAAAATATAAATAATTAATATTTATATGCGCAACTTCTCCGTACTTATGAAGTTTATGTAGTTCGGCTATTTTTTTTTCCATTTCTTCTGTCTGACCTGGTATTAACTGTAACCTGGAAAGATATCCTGGACCATGTTCCTCGGGGTGATAATCACCTAACTCAGCTGTAATTATATTATACAAAATTATGATATCGTAAATTGTGCTTATGATTAAACGAATATCAATACATCGATGTCCTTACATTGAACTGTATAGCTGGCAATAAGACATGCTGTACTTGGCGGTAACTGAAGTTTGCCTTGTAGAATATCTCTTCGTATTTGTAAATAAAATTGGTATCTAGTATATTCTTCCTGTAATTTACTAGGATCGGATACATAAAATTTTACTCTAAAGTAGAATTGCCCACCTAAAACAATAAATATCGTTCGCCCTTCTAATAAATTTATTTGTTTCTATTAAGATAAACGGTTTAATTAAATATGATCTTTACCCTTACTTCTTATCTGCTTCTTCACTGGTTTAGTAGGGTCCAACCATCTCTAAAACATTAACACAATTATATTGGTATTTAATTAATGAAACAAACTGTTTTACAGATAGAGAGATTTTACCATTATATCCGGCGAATATGTGCATGCAGTGGCCCCATTTTCAGCATATTGTAGACCAAAATAATCTTTTTCAACAAGTTCTAAATGTTGGAATACCAAATCCAATAATGCTTGACCTTTTGCTCGTTTCTAGAATATTTTTAAGGGATATATGTTGTAAACAATAACAGAAAATAACATTTCTTGTTTTAAAAGTTTATTTTATTAACTCACATCTAGCTGAAACGTGTGTTGAGTGTCATCCAGAAACACAACAGTTGCAGATAAAGATTTCAATCTACGATTCCTTGCTAACTCAGCACCACGAACGTGGTAGCTCCCACTGGAGCCACTCAACGCTCTGCGCGATACACTTTCGATCATCTCAAAAATTTGAAGGCGTGTCAACCACCTTCCCGACACCACCTCTCTGCTATGCTGACCACCTATATGAAACAGTTTTATGAAAAATAGTTAAGTATAATAACCAGAGTATATTGAAAAATAGGTGTAAACATTTTTTGCATCGAATAAAACAGATAATGTGCAAATGGTAAAACATCTAAATATTTGTATTAATGTAAATTTATATACAATAAGTTCTTTGCTTAGATGGCTGATTCGCTAATTACAGCTGCAAGGTTATGTCAAGATTCATATTGTCAATTTTGAGAAACATTTAAAACAAATAAATTTGTTTTTCGTGCAACTTCACAGATTAATCAAAAATCACTTTTTAAAGTGTAATTACA